TCTCTCTCTCTCTCTCTCTCTCTCTCTCTCTCTCTCTCTCTCTCTCTCTCTCTCCCCACAGTCTCTCCCACTCAAGTTAAAGACGATCACTCGCTGCAGCAGACAAATCGCGAAACCAAAATCACCGCGAAGCGCTCTCTCTCTCGCGCTTTGTCTCTGAAATGCGAAGAACGAAGATCAGAAGAAGTAACTGAAGAAGGACCACGATACAATGCAGTCGGAGCCGGCCTACCAGGTCCACCGGCCGGCGAGATCGGCCGCAGAAGCATGCGGCGGAGATCGGCGTGACGCGAGCCCCGACTCCTTGATCTTCACGCCGGAATCCAATCTCAGCATCTTCTCCTCCGCCTCCGCCTCCGCCTCCGTCGGTCGATGCTCTTTCGCCTCCGATGCTCAGGACCGCGACTCTCTCGTCTCCGATCTCTCCATGGTACGCCATTGTTGGGTTTTTTTTTTCTTGAGCAGTCGTACTGTGAAATGTGCACTTGTATTGGACTGAGTCAAACAACGAGAATCATGCAAGTTCTGTGCTGCGTACTTCGATTGTACATCATTCCAATTAGTTAGTAGTAGATTTGCATTTTCTGTTTGCTCTTTGTTCCACGCAGATTTGGGAAACCGTAGATTTTCTGGAAATCTGGGGATGGATTGAAGATGACAAGGCGAATAACTAAGTTTTTCTCCTTAATTTCTTGATTCAATCGCTACGATTGAGGTTTCAGCTTGAGGTTTGATAGTTCTAGAAATTGACATATTGTTGCCAATCGAGGAAAAAAACGTCGTTTCATGGAGTATAAAGATGAAGATTCAACTCGAAAATCTTTAGAAGAACTTGCGAGTAGCCAAGAAGATTGTAAATCTTACTTGATTACGTTTTGGAAGGTTTTGTGAGGCTTCATCTAGTTCTTGTAGAATTTAGAATATCATTTTGTTGTTTTGAGTTTCATCTGCAAGTAATTCTCTTCTTTTTTTCCGTTCGCCACATTTGAGGGGACAGGATCGAGATCTCAGGGGAAATTCGAGTTGTACAGATTCGGATCCAAACAAGCTTTCAACAGGGAGAAAGCACAGTAGGAACTCTAGAAAGACAGATAAAGTGAAAGGTACAGCTAGCGATAGAAGTGGAAATAAAGAAAAGACATCAAGAAAATGTCCAAAAGGGACCAATCATGTGTTGGAATTTCAAATTTAAGTTCACAAACTCACTTATGTTGTTTTTCAACTTCAAGCAGTGCAGAAAGAAGACAACGAGGTGAACACGGAAGATGAGAACCAACACTTGGATTCAGCTAGGAGCTCCTTCTCTTTAGCTATTAAAGGTAAGTTAAACTTCTGTTGAGTTTTTAACTGTGTTTACTTGAAGAGAAATATTTTGGTTTTTGACTGGAATTTCGCAATCTTTGTAGAATGTCAGGATAGGAGATCCAGATCCGAAGCTCTCGTGAAGAAGCTCCACAGGCAAAGAACTCCTTCTCTGGATCTCAATAATGTCACCTCTTCCTCTCCACGACTGGTAACCGTCCAGAGAAACTCTGTTTCAACAAAGAAATCCAGCGCTTTTCCTAGTCCAGGAACTCCGACTTATCTGCATGGTAGCATTGCGATGCCAAAGGGTTGGAGCTCAGAACGAGTACCATCACATTCGAATGGGGCAAGAACTCTAGCCTTCATGCCTTCTTACAGTGGGAAAACTCTACCTTCGAAATGGGAAGATGCAGAGAGATGGATATTGAGTCCTGTTGCTCGGGAAGGAATCATTCGAACTTCATTTGGGGCATCGCATGAAAGGCGGCCTAAATCAAAGAGTGGTCCATTAGGACCTCCAGGACTTGCATATCATTCATTGTATTCTCCTGCTGTTCCGATGGTTGAAGACGGGAGAATGGGCAGTTTCATGGCAGGCTCCCCTTTTTCGGCTGGAGTGATGACAACAGATAAACATTCCGGGAGCTCTGGTGCAGCTTTTCCTTCAAGAATAGATCCCTCCATGGCTAGATCCATTAGCATTCATGGCTGTTCGGAGAATTTCGCGCCACCTCTGCCTCCATCCCGAGGTAAGAGCCGATCAATCACTCCGTAATATGTTTTCATATACTTTCTTTTGATGAGAATCCCATCTATCTAGGTTTGTCATCGGTTTCGGATATATCTTTCACAGTTTATGCTTCTTAATTTTCATTGCTTTTATGCTACTGGCAAGGGAAACATTCTTATTAATTGGCGGAGAAAAGCCTCATGGTTCAATGCACCATCCAACTCTAATGATCATTTCAAGATTAGATCTTTAAATATCAATCTTAATAATGTTGAATGATTTTTACTTTGAACTTTTGCTGGTCTTTTTATTACCAATTCGTTACCAACATACGTACAGATGGCTTCCTCCCTGACAATGTCAAGGATGCTTCCACCAATCCTCTTGCCGCATCGAGAAGAGATATGGCAACCCAGATGAGTCCGGATGGAAGCGTCCACCTATCCCCCGAGAGAAGATCTTCGCTCTCTCTTTCCTCTCCACCGGCACTATCTATAATCGAAATACTGAATGGCCGGTCCTCGAAACCAGAAATCAGGGATTTGCAGGTTGATGGAAATGTCACTGTAACGCGTTGGTCAAGGAAGCACAGAGCGCTATACCACGGAAAGAGCAAAGAAACGGAGAACTTGAATGAACAAGCCATGGGTACTCACGGTTTGACATGGTAAGCCTATTTCCACTTTATTTCCTACTGCGAATACTTGGCTTTGCATTTGTGTGATTATATTCAGGATTTTGTGTTAATAGAACTTCCAAGTACATTTTTTTCCTAAATCCAAAGTTCAAGGTGGCATAATAGCACATTCAATTCAAGCATATATATTCTTATTTGTGAATGATTATATCTACCACTTTAATCGAGCTTTCATATTTTTTTCTTGTTTGCAGGGCCAAGAGAGAGGAAGCTAGGATCAATGCATGGGAAAATTTGCAAAAAGCAGAAGCAGAGGCAGCAATGAGAAAACTAGAGGTTCTTCCTTTGCATACCTTTAAAGGCACCATAGCTGAAGCTTGAAGCATCAAAACAATTTCATGTTTCCATGCTACAAATGGTTTCAAATTAGTATCAATACAAATCGGTCCCTCTCCTTTTCCAGATGAAGTTGGAAAAGAAGAGAACAACGTCGACGGAAAAGATCATGAAAAAGCTGAAAGCGGCGCAAAAGAGAGCCCAGGGGATGAGGAGCTCGGTAGTAGTCAATCGCGGTGAACAAGGTTCAAGTACATCCCGCAAGTTTGCATCTTTTAGAATGATTCGGCAGATGGCTTCCATTAGTGGTTGCTTTACCTCTTCAAGCCTCTAAGGTAACTTTCATATGTCCTTAACTCTTTCATATTATATGGCCCCCCTTTTTTTTCCTTTTCATAACTTCCTCTTAAATGTTTGAGGTTGAATGAATAGAGTTTTTGTAGTTTTTTAAAACAAACAAAAAATGACAATCAAGATTTTGTAAGTTTAGTTTCCTAAAAATTTGGAAAACTACAAACCAACTAAAAACCAAAAGCTCCATTTTTTTTATATACAAATACAAAAAAAAAAATCAAAGACGAAAAACTAAAATTCAAAAACCAAAAACCAAAAACTAAAGCGGAAATGATAAGTTTCTTTTTTCCTTTCTTTTTCCAAACAATGTTTATTGGTCTTTTTTAGTTGCCAGGTTAATACATGATATCGATGGAGGTGTTGTAGAGCAGAAGAAGACATTGAGAGGTCTTGTGCCAGTTTTTGGTAAAAACACGAAACTCACCCTCCCCAGCGTTTGATCAATCCACGTGAGAATGCTCTGTTTTTTGGCCGCACGCTATAGTCCTTATACGTTTTTTTACGCGCATGGATCAATCGGCCTCTACGATATTGATATAAAGTTGATGCTGTGGGAGGGAATATGTTAGAGGTGGATATGATCCTTGGGTGTCCATACGGTAATTGAGGCTGCGTATTTTTCCGTGTATATGATATGTGTCCTCCTCTATCTGCAAGCTTCATTGTTCAGCTTTTGTTGTTCATTTTGAACTTTGCTATTAAGGCCATGTTGATGTTTGATGGGTTCCCATCACTTTTTATCACCTGATGGAAATACGGAAAGAAAATAATTCTTTTTTCTAGAAAATTTAAAACATTTTTAATTTCTAGTACCCTCTAAACCCCTTTACTTAAAAAAATAATTCAGGGAATCTTGGGCCGTTCATTTTACGGATTGGTCTGATTCAACCAAGCGTTTTTGAAGATTCCACCCCCAAAAATCTAAACGTGAAAATAATCTATGTCAATCCTTTCTGCTGTCCTAGAAAGGATTAAATATTATTTATTACTCCGTTTCAAAATAAATATGGTTTTAGATTTTATCTTAATTTTAAAAAAAAATATATATAAAAAATCAAATATATTCTCGTTAACTCACATTTCCATTAATACTCTAATAAAGTTAAATATTTTAGTTAAGGATAAAACTGAATTTTATTTAAAAAATCATATTTAGTAATAAATTTTTTTAAAACGATAATTATTATAAAAAAAGGGGAGTATTATCTTATCATTTTACTCAAAGATTTTTTCTTGACGCCGTAATAATAAGAGGCTTCCAAAGGCAAAAGAAAGTCGCGGAGAAGCATAAAAAAAAAAGAGAATATTTATAAAAAAAATGCATTTCTACGGAATGACAATAACAAGAGGAACTTCCAAGTATAAAAAAAATTCTTGAAAAGATTGTTTTATTACCTGAACTTTTCAAAGAAATAGAAATAATTCGGGGTCCCATCCCATGCTTTTTGGCAGACAAGACAACAGAAGAAAACACGAACCAAAACCACAATGATCAAAGACATAAAACAGATGAGTAATCAACTCAATGCAATGATAATAAATCCATAGATCTATAGTGCCAATAGGCTACAAACTTTTTTTTCCTTGGTTCTTTTACTTGGGTATTCATAAAAACTAACTGGTAAAATTAAATTAACCAAGAAGAACCCAGTTTTCCCTCTCTCCCTTCTCCCCTTCTCTTTCAATCTTTCCATCAAAATCCAATTTTTTCAGACAAAACTACCACAATCCCGACCATGAGATTCTCCAATCATCTCCAAACCCGAAAAAACAAAGAAGAGAACAAAAAAAGGAACAAACTTGCCTTTGTTGTTATGGTGAGGCTCTCTGCAATGAACAGAAGAATGAATTGAAGGAGAAAGAAGGGTTTGAACACAATCAATAATCACCCACCAGGTCTCTTCTTCTTCCTTTTCCTTTTTCTTTTTTTGGTTTCTTTAAATGAATGGTTAACTCTGAAAAATGGAAACTCCACAGCAACATCTGAATTGGCTTTGGTTGGATCATCATCCTGTTGGCTTGCCTGAAGTGTTCAAGCCTGCGGTTTTGCAGATTGGACAAAGATTTTTCCTTTTCAGCCATTCTTTGATGCATTGGCTGTGAAAATCATGCCCGCATTCCAGCGTCCCCACATCTTCTCCTTCGCTGTATTCCTCCTACGAAATTCAAAGCGTATAATTCAGCAGAAATTATGTTGTGTTCATATTATGCTTACAACGACAAAATGTGCAATCTGCACAAATAGCAGACCCAATAAACTTTGTTCCCCCAGATGGGTTGAACTGGCAATTCGCAACTATGGTGCTGGTAATTTTAGTTCAGTTCCATTGACAACTTTTTGATTAATCTAATCCCTGGCCTATCGAAATGCATGATTTTTTCACAAGATTGAGAGGAAATAATCTTAAAACGGGTTGTTCAAAACGCATGAATGAGAGTTTAAGAGGATCGTTACTTGGCAAACACAACATGGTTCTACTTCCTGCGAAGATCTGCTACTGCTTTCAAATTTCCGCTGCTTCAAACGGTTTGATATAGTTTCCTCACTAAGACCCGTACAAACATCTCCAATCCGCTCTTC